TGTTTGTTAAGTTGAATTAATTTTATGATTTTCAAACTATTTTATTCTTAGAGCAATTTCAGCGAATATCTGAAGTACATACAAAAGTTGGATTCAGAATTCAAGAAAATGCTAGATGTAGCTGTACATTGGACTAATGGAGTGTGTCCGTATGATAAAATTTTATTTCCACCCATTCTTGAAAAGTTTAATAGTATAGAACAGATTGATGTTGATGATTTAGATGTATTAATTGTTGAAAAAAAAGCCAAACTCAATTGTCTAAATATTGATCCAAATGCTCCTCAGGTAAAACGAGAAGAAATATTAGCTTTTTGTTTAAAAAATAATAAATTTAGATTATAGAATACATTAGTTATATTCCCTGTCGATTATATTATAGTTGATAAAAGAATACAAGGAACGCAAGATAAAAATAAAGAATTTAGAAAATAAATTGGAAAGTCTAAACCTCAATGCTCAAACCAAAGAAAATGAAATTGAAAGATTACACTCTGAATGGTTGCCTAAAATTCAAGAACTTACTAATTTGTTGAGTGTTAATTTCCAGAAATTTCTCAAATCATTTGGTTGTAGTGGCATAATTGAATTGGATATTGGTGTAACGAGGGTAAATATTCTGTGCCTACTATTCTTGTTGGCAGTAATTATAATTTATGATTTAAATCCAAATAACTTTAGTACGATTTCCAAGCATATGGGCTATTGATAAAGGTGCAATTTCGCAATGACATTCCTTCGTTGAGACTATTAGATGCCAAAAGCCAAAGTGGTGGTGAACGGGCACTGACAACAGCTCTATTTTTGTTATGCCTTCAAGAAGTTACTCACTTCCCATTTAGAATTGTTGATGAAATAAATCAGGTTTGTAGACTTTTAAAAATAAAATGATTTAGATAACTATTTAAAAACATACAATTTCATAGGGCATGGATAAAGTTTATGAAAAGAAACTGATGGAATTGTTTATGGAGTTATTTGAAGACAGGAACAATCAGTATTTGGTTGTCACACCAAAGGTTTGTTAAATGTATTTGTTGAAAGGGGGGGGGGGACTTTTTCTATAAAATCTAAAAGTTAACATTTTACTTCAGTGTTAAATAGAGAACTTCACTTTTTGATAATATATTTATAGTATCAATTTGTTTTTTAAACATATTGTAGCCTAACAATTTATTATTAATCAATCTCAAATAATTGTATAACTTATGTTTTTGTAAAGAAAATATTCTATTTTTTTCTTTACAAATATGTGTACTTACTGAATTATATCTACCTACATTAGATAGGTTTTTGTAATACTTTTTGAATACCAGCCAAATATTATTTATATAATATCAATGTAAAATAGTCCTTTATTAATAGTTTTTTCTTAATCTAATGCAATTTTTGATAAAAAAAGCGAGTAAGTGGATGTCATTCTGGATACCATCATGGTATACATTTGAATTCGACAATTTAAAATCATTGTAAACAAAAAATGATTCTGAGCATAGACGGTCTGTTAACCTATAATGTTACTTAGCAATTTAGTATATTTGATGATATTATTGTATGTAATTAAAGTAATTTATTTTACTAATAAGCATTAGTACTATAGTAAGTTAAATTCATTTTTGCCAACAAAATTACAACTTACTTGAAAAGTAATTTTTTGTTTAAAATATAATAATATACTCTAAAAATTTCAAGTACACACAAATAATATTTTTAAATTACTATTGAATTTAAAAAATGGAAATAATTTGCAATTTTTTGTAATCCTTACGAGTTTTGTTAAAATTCTAAATTTAAATGCTCATAAAAAATGATTCTATATATTGTGTATATTGAGCGTAACTCAACTTTTTTTTATATTGCCACCAACAACAACTTACGAGGAACCTTATATTATATTTTAAAGCTTTTTGAGTGTTCGAAATATTTTTTTTATCTTTCAACCTAAAATTTAATATACGAAAAATAAGAGCTGATAACAATGTGTACATATATATATATATATATATATATTTATCATAATAATCATACATTAGATAAAATAATAAGACATTTGCGGTCTCGGAATATAATACTAATTATGTATTATAATATAAACTCTATAATTTAGTTGTTAGTAAAATATTATACATTGTTGTTATACAGTTATACCTAAATAATATTGTGAGCTTTATATTGGCTTAGACAGACCCAAAAAAATATTAGTAGTAACTAAAATGAATTATATATCAGTTTAATAATTTTTATTCTATTATTTCAGTTGATCAAGAACCTATCATTTAAAAACACTACGGTGGACATCATATTTTGTATTGATAAGTGAAGAATCGAACATGACATAACATTTTTTTTTATACTATTATTATACTATTATTACTATTAGTCTTATATGAATGACTCTATATCTCAAATATTGTGAGTTCTTATAGTATTAAGTTTTAGCATTATGCATTTTTATTAATTATTTATGTTTTTTGTGCTGTATACCTATTGTGTTATGAGTTATTGATAATATTCATTTTCTGTATTTATATTCAATATTCATGTAAAAATTAAGTTTTAAGTTAAAAATGCAGGGTAAAAAATGTATAACTGTTTTATTCGCAATTAATGCATAAATTAATTATACATCAGAATTAAAAAAGACATCATTCAATAATTTTATATTGTTTGTTTTTTTTATTATTATTCAATTCACAAATTTATTATACACCAACTCATAAAAATCATACTTAATATCTACCATCTAAATAATATCTAAAAAAAAAAATAATAATAATAATAAACAAAGATTGTACAATCAAATATCTGTGATCAACTCACATCATAGAGATAATCTAAAATCAAATATACAAAAAAAAACTGATAATAATAATGTGTTAAGGCACTAATTAACCCATAATAGTATATAAATATTTATATTCAAATGAATTATTTAATTTTGTATTACATTTACACAATATATTATTATTATTAACTATATAAAAATCTAAACACAGTACCTAGCTGAAAAAAATATTTGTATATATATATATATATATATTTATATATTTATGGCAGCCGTGAAAATCAATACGAATGTATACCGAAAAAAATTCTATCACAATACTTGTAAAAAAAAAAATTAAAATTATTATCAGGTATGATGCTGTTGCGTCCGTGATGGCATAATATTGTTATGTTGTCTTTTTTTTTCAAATTTCGTGTTTTTTTCGCGCTCTCGTCGTTCAAATATTGTGTCCCCTCCGACAAAATCTACAAGCGATCGTCCCAGCTACTCGTCATCGGTGGGGTAGGGGAGGTCATCTCTCGCGTAAAAATGAATTTAATACTAAACACTCGGCGGAGGGGCAGCATAAACCACGCTACATTCAACATCGATCGGGAAATAGAGAATTAACGTAGGTACCTAATAATAATAATACCTAGGTATGGCTGGGGGTGTACCTTCACTAGAAAAACCAGATCGACGACACATTTTCTTTTCGCCAAGTGGGTAAAATATTTCCTGACGTCCGATCAGTCCCACTCTCGACGACAACGCCCTGCGCACCACCCGCGGGTTTCGGAAACGGACTTCCGCACCAGCAACCCCCCCCCCCCTCCAACGCTGCTTTTCAATCTAAATAAAATATCATATAGGTAACAGTATTCACGATAACGGGATTCACATGTTTGATTTATGTTATTATTTTAAATTCTAAATTATATTATTATAATTATGATAATGGTATAGGTATAGGTAATAATATGTCTGTAATAAACAAAAACCCAATACAATAACACTATTAAAAATCATATAATATTATTATGTTCGCACGAAGCAAGGCACTATATATGATGTTAAGTCTATGTAATCGCGTTTTTTGGTTGATCGGTATAATATGATGTTATACGAACTATAATACATTATAAATAATATGTTTTATATTTTTTTATAGCTTTATACTATATGTAGATCACTTGCACGACGTGTTTTTGTTTGATGCACTCGCACACACTCAAGTATGTTATTGTAATAATTATATTATTTCGCTGTAGTCTATATAAAGAATATATATATATATAAATTAAACATTTTATATACACGGGGGTTTTTTTTGGGGGAGATGGGGGGTTTATACAAATAATAATAATTATAATAATAAATCAATATCACAAAAGAAAAAATATTAATAAAACCGCCAAACGAGGTGGGAGGAACGGTTTCCAAAAATAAGTTACACGATTAAAAATATAATAATATAATAGGTAAGTGTATATTATAATATAATATATACATAAATAATATTACAAAACGAGAACTTGGTCTGTTAAAAGATGATTAATAATATAATAATAATAATAATAATAATAATAGAAATAATAAGCGAGACTAGTTTTAGAAAATATAATAATAATAATAATAATAAAGATAGTGATCGACTCGGAGAGTCTTTATTAATAAAAAAAATCTATATATATATATATAGCATTATAGCTATATATAACTCGTGTATATGTGGTCATAATATAGGTTTATCAAATGTCGTGGGACGGAGTTAAACCTCCCTACGCTGTACAATAAGTGATCACGCACGACGGATGTACCGTGGTTATGGTCCAGGGGTGTGTGTGTGTGTGTGTGTGGTGAGAAGAGTGGCGGTCACCCTTACGAGATATAGTCGCAGAGCATCAAAAAGATGCATTGTCATCGACTTACTATGGTTGAGCGTTTGTACAATGATAATATCATACTTGTACACATAACATGTCTGAGTGTAAGTATAATACTAGGCAAATGGTATGATATAATAAATTACAATTGTATATAAATATTTTTTCTCCCTCTCTTTACATAATAATATAATAATAGTAGGTATGTAACATAATATCGACAATGATCCGCGTATATATATATATATATATATATATATATATATATACAGGTACACCCTGTGTGTGTGTGTGTGTATATGTGTATACAAAATAAATTATTAGATCAAAACGAAAAAAGAAATATACTATTTACATTCAAAAATATACTAAAAATTCGATTACATATTTTTATGTCATTATATCCATCTCGTGGCACCTGTCGATCGTAACAATATTTTTTTAACAACGAATTATTGGCATTACCGCCTTTGTCATTCGCGATGGACACGCCGCCGACATCGACACGAGTACATAATAATATTATTGTAATATTTATATGTACGTCTTTATAGGAACTGATATATACATTATATAATATATAGAGAGAGGGAGGCGCGAGCAGATCTGTAACCGTCGATCGTGCGGTGATGCATCATTCCATGTGCCGGTACTTGTGGGCCGTCATCTGGGACAGGCCGAGCACGGCGTACTGGCAGCTCAAGCAGTGGTAGTGGGTCTGCTTGCCGGAGTGCACGCAACCACCGGGCTGGCCGCACGCCTGCGCCGGGGTGAACTTCTCGAAGCCCGCGGCCATGATGGAGTCGAGCTTCTGGTGCTGGCGCCGGTGAGCCACCACTTTGTTGGTGTCGGTGCACACGAACTCGCACTTGAGACAGTGGAAGTGCGACGCCTTATTTTGACCGGTACCTGTGCGCGGCGAGCGGGAGAAGAGAAAAAAAAAAACGTCGTTATAATAACGTGTATGGACGTCGTCGCTGGTAGGGGAACGAATAGGCGTGTGAATACGATATGGGAGGCAGGTTTATTGCCGATAACGTTTTCAATTATGCGGGATGTCTTATGATATGGAGGTCAATATATAACGGACGTGGTTATTAAAAGGTGTACTCACTTATAGCAGAAATGTAAGTGCACTCTGCTCGTCCACACGACACGTTGGCTCTGTATTGCTGGAAGTCACCTCCCATCAAAGTGTCGAGTCTGCGAAAAAAAAAACTATGGTCAGATACCACACGCCAAACAATATGTATAAATGATATTAAATACATATATTTTAGAAACTAAAAGTCAGTAAAATGGCACCTACACAACTATCTAGGCATACAATATAAACATAGTGCATACTTATTATATACATATAACATTATTAACTAATAACTATATCCTCCAACGAAACACCTTTACCTATTATAAAGTTATTTTGGTAAAAAAAAAATTAAAATGTGGGAGGGGGTAATTCATTGTAAAATCAAAACGAGGGTGCAGAATGGTGGAGTATGAAAAAATGCAGAGCACAATTATTTTAAATAACACTGTACTGAAAATGGTTTTTCCTCAGAGATTATTATGATTTTCAGCCAAAACTGTATGTCGTTTTTCAATCAACGCCTCGAATCATCCGGGGGATTTAATACATTTTATTTTTAAATTACGATAAAATAAAATATTGGTTACATATTATATTGATATATTTATGTTTAAAAATTCAAAATCTAAGAAAAACATTTTTCGTTCATTGTCTCTACACTCATTAGTCGACGAATCTTCTGTGGTAGGTACATATATGGATATGGATATAAGACAACACAATAATATACCAACTCCAAAATATGACTATATCAGGCACGTACACGATAAAACAATTTCGGGAAAATAGACTTTAAACCATAACCGAGCTCTGCCTATATTATTACGTATGACCTTATCCCCGAAACGTACCTCTCGTGTCTGGCCGTGTGCTGCACGAATCTGGTCTTGTCACAAAAACTGTAACCGCAGTCCTGGCGCATGCAGTGGAAATGCGTCTGGTGCTCCCTGTAGCCGCAATGCGCGTAATGGCAGTCCTCGTTGAATCTGAACCGCAGGTATCCCTCGGGAACCGGTTCGTCCTTGAGGATGCGCATCGAGTTCTGGACGCGTGCCTTCCTCATTTCAGGGCTCATGTCACGCGACGGCGACACCGGCCGGTTGCCGTGGTGATGTGGCGCTGCGGCGGCTGTCCCGTCGCTGCCGCCAGCCGCTTCGCCGCCACGATGGTGGTTCAGCAGCCCATTGTGGCCGGCCGCCGCCAGCATGGTCTGGTGGTGGTTGAAGCCGGGTGGTGGAGCGAACATTAGGCCTATAAAATCCGGGACACGATGCGTTACTAATATATATTGATTGATTGATTTATTATTTATATTATTATCGTCTAGGTTGATATTGTTGGTATAATATTGTTCAGTTGAGGTTGTTGTGGTCGGGTTTTAAATTATTATAAAATAAATACTAATTTCGACTGTCCAATCACAAAAATGACACATTATACACTATATAACAGTGCAATGAATTCATCTCATTTATTTGCTCACTCACTTACATCGTCGTAGTTTAATGTATAAAACTTTAAATCATATCTGTACAATATCGGTTAACCGGACCGACCGTCCGGGGATAGTAGTGTACTTGAATAGCCTATACGAAACGCCGCGTGACCATAATTTTGTCACGTGTACATTTTTTACTATTACAGATATATACAGGGCTATATAATAATAATGTTTTACTTCTGTATATTTAGTGGTGAGTCTTACAACGTATGATTTTGTAGGGTTTCGGACAAGAAATTGTCACTTATTCGGGTCGGATTATATTTACTGAATTTACGGGGCGATATAAAAAAAACCATCACACTGGCCGGTCAAGTGAGTAAATAACATCATTTATTTATTGTTCATGATAATATTGTGTTATGTTTTTGTGGTGTGCTGGTGTGTACTTACTGGTCGGAGACGAGTACATGGCTTGGATGGCGTGTGGCATGAAAGGCAACCCTTGGGACGTCATCAGAGACGCAAACTGTTGGTTGGCCATAGCGGCCGCCATGGCTGCACCGAATCCCGGTGGATACGGTGAGTGTGGCATACCAGCGGCCGAGTTGCTGTCGCCTGAGATCGGCATCATTGTCAGTGCTGTGAGCATGCGGTAAATACCACGAGAAACGACATAATTATTATTTACTATTTTAGTAAATAGAACTAGATTATAAAATACGAAAGAAACTCAAACGGAAAATTTACGAACAGAAGATATTATATTTATGTACTTTTGGTCAACCGTCTATAATATTCCTGGCGATAAAATTATTTGTAAAAACGTTTCTCACCGGGTGGATGCTGTGCGATCTCTTCTGTATCGTCGTTGTTGTTGTTGTTGTTGATGTTCTCTGTTTTTTGCATAAACGTTGGTAAGGCGCCCGGCGTGTGTTTGATGATGTGCGGCTTGAGCTTGTCCAATTCCGAAAAAGCCTTGAAAAAACGAAAGATAAATAGTTGTTTTTTAATGACGTTAATAATATTGATATTTTAATATATAGTAATTTATTGATGCTGCTGCACGCAGACGGACTCGTTCATATATGATATATTATCGGCAATCACGGATATATATAACAAGTAAATTAAAGACGGGACGATGAAGACCAAAACACTGAACATTTTTGCTGTTTACAGCGCACGTTTCCAATTTGCTCGTTATCGTGGCAATTAATTAAATGCTATACTATTTGTGCGATTACAATATGGTTTATAATAGTGTGTTAATGTCAATGTATTATTTATGAGTATTATCCATATAACTTATTAAATGCATATTTTTTTAAATCTCAAAACGGGGTAAACGTGGGCGTGAACGACGTTCTTATATTTTATTTTTTCCGCAACCACGGGTGAGTGGTAATGTTTGGTGGGTAAACGAACTCCGATCTGAATTTATAAATACAATACGAGTGAAACAAAGAGTACTGTAATGCAGGAAATTTCACTGTTGTACGCTAACAGGTTGCGCCACGTGTTTGTTTTCCAACGACATGCATGATTTTATTTGTTTGAAATCACAAGTAAAGTAAATGTCTACAAAACTTAGATCAAATCGTAATGGTAACTTTTTCTTGCTTTTTACTTATGGCTAAGTATGACTTCGTGTCAGCAAAGGTTATTTTATATTATATCATTAACCTAATGACGACATCTCAATGAATAATATATAAAATATTATAGGTATACAAAATGCCAGTGCAACTAGTTTCATAGGTAACAAAATGGATTTACTTCGATTAATGTTTATTATAAATAGTTTTCATATCTGAAATTTTTCTAAACCATTATTCATATAAGCTCGTTAAGTTTTATCGAGTGGTGAAAATAAATTAACGAAATAGCTTTTATTTTTATTATGGTACCGCACTTTCTAATTTCTATACCAAGCTTAAGGCTTTTACGTTCGGTAAACTGCAATAATATATCGATATTAAAAGTAATAACTGTGCATTATAAATTATAATACACCTATATAATATATTTATATATATAATACCAATACGCATGACGATGACCTGTAGGCAGAGAAGACCCTCTCGATTCTGGTTACAACATTTTTTTTGTATATCGATTGGTCATAATTTATTTTATATTATATATATTTATTGTTTTTGAAGTGCGCTATCCACCGATAGACGGAAACAAACGATTGCGTGGCTTATTACAGTACGATAAACGATAAACGTGAACATTATTGTGCGCGATATCATCACGCCCAGGGGCCAGGACACGTTGTTATTAGTATTGATATTATTGCACAGATGTCAGTACAAAAAAAGAACAACTGAACGAAAAGACAAAACGAAAAAATTGAAGGTCACATCGGCAATTACATATACTAGGTATCTATGTTATGTTGCAATGATATTTTATTGTCTGCATTTAGGCGGCGTACGATTTTATATTAAAATTATTATTTATTAAACGCACGCATTGGGCGTACTACAGGTCCTTGTTGTTAGGAATTATTATCGATCGCCACAAGTATACAAATATAATGTAGATATACGTAAATAATTAAAAGTGATAAATCGGCAATATTAAAAAAAACGACCATTAAACCACGTTTTTCGTTAACACATCACGTATACGGTATATTGGTATTTGGTATTATCTGTCTAGCAGTTTTTTTTTAGTTTTTTGTCGATTTATTTATTTTTGCAACAAGCGCGTCATCGTCGTACGAGCAATAACAATAAATAATCATAATATCATATTATAAGACCCATACGGTCCACATGCGTAGCAGCAGAAGTAGAGAGAAAGGTAATAATAATACGCGCACTGGGATTTTATATTTTGCGAATAACTGTGCGTAGCAATTATTACGACCTAGTTGCTGATACTCTGATAGTGTCTTGGTTTTCCAACGACAATTACACACGGTTTGTACTTTTCTGCAGACGACTTGACAGATTTAACGACAACAAACTCGGTCGGAACACGTTAATATTATTATTATTAAACGCTGCAGGTAGTCTGCTCGCATATTATATATATATATGTATAAATGTGACGCAAAGTAATACGAAATGAATAATTTAGCGTTTAAAGAAAAATATATGAACACCGTCCGGGTGGCGAGCGGAGTGCAGCCAAACGTTGCGGGAGGGGCCGTATAGTAAGTCCGAGTATTAAAATCGACCGGTTTTCGCTCGGATATCGATGAAGTGAGAAAACCGAGCCTCGTTCTGCTGCACCGTAATATATACATAGTATTGCTATTATAATTATTATTTGTATTATTTTATTATACAGGTGCGAGACTATGGGAGAGTGAGGCGGAGTGAGTGGAATCAAGAAGTTCTATAATAATTTAAAAACAATCGGAAGCAATACAAATTATTTTTATCACGTAAATATTATCCAAACGAGATAATATTATTATTTATGTAATACTACACGTGATGTGGTGGTGGCGGCCGCGGTAGTGGTAGCGACTTGTTGCCCGGCCGTTAGAAATCGCGCGATGCGTGACAACACACAAAACCCTGGGAAAACGGCGGCGGCGGAAATCATTAGCAGCGCGATTCGGCGGGAGCCAAAGGGGAAATACGCCCGTAGTTTTTAATCGTTTTTTTTCCGTTTCCGAAAAAATTAACACCCGGAAAAGGAACGAGTGGTGCGAAAAAATAAATAAATAATAAACGGCTACGAACGCGGTCCTCGTACATAATTGTCCCGTAGTCGTCAATCATTTAACTCTTTCGTTACGCGTGTCATTCGCGATTGCATATGTTCAACGAAAAAAAAAAATATATTATATAAAAATGAAACGCGCACCCTGTGCGTTTTTCCCGGGGACTCGACGACAATAATTATCGCAACTTGTATGTATATACGTGGCCGGAACGAAAATCGAAAGAAGTAAAAAACGAAAAGGGGTGAACGCCGCGGAAACCGATGACATTGATGCTGATCGATTATCGATTTTCTCGGGGCGGCGGCGGCGTTCCACGCGGCGGGTAAAAAAATAATAATGATAATAATAAAAACGAGCCGGGTGCGTTTTTTCTCCATAATATTCGCCTTTTGTCGTCGCATCATTAATCATCTTTTCGGAAGCGATTCCGCACGATCGATTAAAACTACTACCACTACTGCGATTACTACTACCTACTCGTTTCTTTTAAAAAATGATTTTTCCCTTCTTTTATTTCCTTAAAAACAATTTTTTTGCAGAAAAAGTTTTTTTATTTTTTTTAATGTGCTTGAAATTCTCACGAGATTGTTATTTTCGTTATTGTTAACGAAGTTGTTGATGCGAAATTCAAGACACGTAACCGGATACCCTCCTTTTCTTTACAAATATTGAGTGTTTTTTTTTTCACGCCATCATCAATTTTAATCAGTAAGGAGTTGATAGTGTGAAATGTGCGCGCACTTAAATTGATTAGAATTGAAACCGTTTAATGTGCCCCGTATTGCCGTTTATATTTTAAAGACGGAATAATTCCGACCGAATAATTTTTTAAGCGTCATTGTTGAAATATTATAACAAAATAATAATACGTAGTAACTAAACACAAAAAAACGATTGGTTTCATAAATTTTAGTTTCCACGTCGACACGGTGTATTGGTGCATAATATTATATCATTTTATTTTAAATTAAGCTCGTATTGGAGCGAGAAGGACTTACATTTTTCTACCGAAAATAATTTTAAAACCACCTAGACGTCATAATGAAAAAGTGTCCGGGATACATGGACCGCAAGGTGTTCGAATTCGGAATGGAGGATGCGGGCCCAGGACCGGCAGCATACGGGGCCCGGACGACGGTGGGCCGCCTGAACCGGTTGCCCACTGTGGCCGGCGCACCGTCGTGCTCGATGCACAAGCGGCTGGACTTGGGCAACGAGACCGAGGGGCCAGGGCCTGTGGTGTACAATCTGGCACAGCTGACGTGCCGTGGCCGAGCGGTCGCGCCACGGTACAGCATGGCCAAGAAACTGCCTTTCGACGGTGACATGGACAACCCGGGACCGGCGGCGTATAAGCCTAGAGTTCCTGTCAAAGGCCCGGTGCCCAAGATGCTGTTTCGCATAATTGACCAGGATCCCGTAATGTCAAACATTATACTATTATTATTTTAATTTTAATTTTAAATTGCTATGCCATCTAGTTAACTAGGTATCACACCATTGATTCCTCTTTTACAAAATAATTTCAATTCTAAAATATTATTTAATAAAATATTATTTGTCTGTAAAGTGTACCTATGTTATAATATGAACTTGACTACTTAAGTAAGTATAAAGTATGTGTATCATTGTGTGAATTTATATGTGTGTTAAAGAGAGCCGCCAATCCTGGGTCGAACGTTTACAAGTTGCCGTCAACACTGTCACGCAAAACCATTACGCTGGCCAAAAAAATTGATGATATCATAGACATCAAATCCCCCGGGCCGGTATATGAAACTGTGCCTTTGAACAAATACAGAAGCAAAGCTCCCCAATACAGTCTAGCGAAGAAATTTGAAGACCCCCAGTTGGCCAACAAAATAAAGGAACAATCGCCGAGCCCGCAGGCGTACAATCCTCCACTCAAGTACAAGTACAATGTTATGCCGAAGTTTTCGTTCGGGATTCGCCGTCCGGATAAATTTGCACCATTAGTGGTGTGCGGCGATGATGT